AACTAGTTCTTTTTAAGCTGATTAAATTTCATTCCACTCTTTTGGTTTGTTCTGCCTACCTGAATAATCTATTAACTTGCACACGTTGCTTACGCTAATTGTGGTTATTTTCGTTAACTTGATTGCGTTTGTAGCATTTTTTGAATAACTTGCGGACATTTTGTACTTATCGCGGATTCGTTGCTAACCAACTTACTTCATATGCAAATTTAGCGAAGTTATATCGGCATAACCGTATGCTTTAACAGATGTGTTTTATTTGATAATGTAATTTCAAATGATTGGCTGTTGTTTGACATCCTCAGTGTGGCTGTCTATTACCCACTACCTCGTCCATACTGGCTCCAGGAGACAGTTGGGCGTTGCTGGAGGGGACGGGGTACACGGTCCTTGTGGCCGTGCTAGGCTCGTAGCGTGGTTCCATGCAGTCAGTGTGGAGCGGACTGCGGTCCAGCCACCGCCTTGTGTGCGCTTGATTCCGCAAATACAGCATGCATGTGTTTACCTGCGAAGGAGCGTGGACCGGCTCAGTTAATGTAATGTGCCACCCATTTAGGTGCCTCCCGATCTTACTCCTTCGTGTTTACACTGGATATGGGGTGTATGGGTGAAACTGTAAATGGTGCAGCGCAAGCCAACCAAGGTCCCTCTGTAGACGCAGGCGTCCTGTGGCTGTCCCTGTGGAGGCCGCAGGGACAGGCAAATCCGGAAATGGATGCCGCCAACCATGCAGTTCGTATGAGATCCTAATTGTAGGGAGAATCTAAGAGGGAGGGAGTGGACAAGGAAGCTCAACACAAACGCCATTGGAGCCGGCTCTTCGCCATATCAGCAAGTGTGTCCAGCCAAACGTGTTCATCCTCCTTCGATCCCCAGCCCAGCAGTCAGGACATACCAACCGAATTTAAGTTCGAAGTGAGTAACTTCATTCCGTCTGACTATGTCATCGCTTGGCCTTCCCTCCTCTTCTTCCATCCGTAGTCCTGGCGCGCAAATAACGCACGTCGCGGGAGTCGGTGTGCTGGCATGCGCAACAAGTCGATCAGCCGTCGGAGCCTGGTGCGTAATACGACGGTGCTGAGCGGCCCACTGTCACTCCCTGCACCAAATACTCTACGCTGAGCTCATGGATTCCTCATGCGGTGCTCCCATCAGACATAAGCTAACTTCCATCTCTCTAGTACTTTTGCACCACCAGGTTTCATGGTCGTTTTATAAACTTCAGCGCAATCCTCAGCCTATGGATAAGCGTTCCTCACTACAACTGGCATCGGCCGGGACCTAGCGACGTCTGTCCACCATCGACAAGGAGACAGCGGTGATCCAGCTCTTCGACAAGTGGCGGGTGACTTCACGACTATCAATTCTGGTCAAAACTAAGGCGTTTTTGATGCACATCCATGGTTAATTCAGTTCGTCGTCAGAAGCTGAGGCAAGCAGTGTTGTTAGGGAGGCCTGGTATTTGGCTAACGTCGTAGGATCCTGTAGATTTTCTACGCTTAGGCGATCATCCGAAATGCATGCAAAACTTGGCACGAACCATTGCTTGATCGGGGTCCAGGCATGCTGACTAATACGATTGGCAACCTATTACACTTCCGCACCATCTGTAGCTTATAGCTATATGGGGAGGAGATAAGTGTATTTGAAGGCTGGGACGCGGGGCGATCTGTGAGTGTAGGTTGAGCAGTGGGGACAGTAGAGCCGGTAGACATAGCAAGAGTGAAAGCAGTAGTATAATCTATCCACGCTTTGTCAGTGGGCGCGATGCTGACCGTTTGCTCAGGCCGAGCTAGAGGGTTGTCTTAGAGGGGCCCACCCCGCAGCAGGTCATTATGAGGGCGTCGCAACCCGTTGGTAGCCGGTGACCAAACAAGTATTTCATGCGCTTGTATGACCGCAAAGGACCAGTGGCCTAACATACCCTTAAATTACGGCGCCACTTAGAGAGCGAGAGCAAGGAAGGTGGTCATGACTTTATGTGTTGGCGAGCCACATCCGCCAATTCACAATGTTTTTAAACGGACATATGTGGTTTTTCATAGGGAGAACGTTCTCCAGACGAAAACCCATCATGTCCTGGAACACTGTCGCCGAACCATTCACTTCCCACCCAGCTAGTACAGCGAGGAGATTGGTGAGCAGACTAGCCGCTGGGCTCATTGAGCACCTTGCTTTGATTTGACTGAATCACTTACCACAAGTCTTACTTCTGAACTGAAACACTGCGGATGCTTGCGATCACGGCATCCATTCTCATTTTATTACAGAAATATCATTATTCACCGTTTACTGAAGAGCTTGTGAATGGTCTCACCGAACCTGTCTTCCTTTTCTTCTCAAAATTTATCAGCGAACATTCACCGAGTCAGTAGGTTCTGTGTGGACCGATCGTAGTTTAGAGTGACCTTACCATTCAGGTATGGCACCGAGCACGCGATCGATTGCGCTGGTGAGCTGCAGTACATTTGTCCGCCTACAGCGCTCGCCAAATGCGTTTTTTGCTTTTGTTCGTCCTTGTCCTCACATACCATTCACGCACACGGTGTGCCTGGTACGATACTAGTGCACGTCTCCGCATCTCTGGTAATGTGCACGCCTGATGATCATTATGGCTTTTTAGGAATTCCACCTAACCGTACCATTCACTGTTTTGTGGCCAAATACATCCTTGGCATTGTTACGAAAAACAAACATTGCGCACAAGGTTTATCTTTACACTTGCCTTTTCCCCTTATACCTGTCGCCTTCTGGGCTAATAAATATTTCTGATGGATTAGTTTGCCTTGATGATTTATCCAATGCACTTTACACGGTGAAGAACGAATAGCGATTGTTGTTTTGTGTGTAGGAACAATCTAACTTCCTCTGCATGACCAACGTTGGAGTGAGAGACGGTTTTCCTTTACTATCGTTCTAAGATGGCTTGAAGGTGATTGGGCTAGGCGCATCAGGTCCTGTTCATCTAACGTGCCGGAATGAGCCGAAAATCAAGTAGGGCTTCATTTGGGGCTGGACAGATTAGATGGCTGGTCACGACTGGATTCCATGAGACGTCTTTCGGTCTATCAGTGCTAACTTCTACATCATTTCTCACTTCGATCACAGTCATTTAACAAAGATGGTCAAGGCTTGTTCTAACAATAATCACCGCTTCGTTTGGAATGACCTGTAACAACAGAACCGCATGACCGATACTATCCTAACATCATTTGCTTGGTTTCCAGTGGCCTCTAAACCATTGCCAAGAGTGTCATTCGCAGAGCATCGTTCTCTTTATACTCCCCAAGAGAACACTAATTGTTGTCGAAAAGTGTCCAACGACTCTCATGGACGCAACCTGATTTATTCGAACATCGGTCAGGGATTACTCTTGAAATCAAGGAGCATTTAATTGCCCCAACCGGAAATATATCAGCTCAGCTATGACCCTTGGCTCTCGTCAAATCCCTATCTATTGAACTGCCCTCTCTGTGGTTAGTGCAAATTTTCTGACTAACTTTCTCGTTTATTGCGGCTACATTCAATCCGTTGCAGTTAACCGGACCGGCTGCCCCTCTGTGCCCACTCAAATGATAAACTTTCGGACTAGCAATGCAGAAACGGTTAAGGGACAAGACCGCAATTCGAGCATCAGATTCACATGGGGACTGCAACTTGCTTGATTGTACTTCATTCCTCCCCGTCTAGCATGAAGCTTCCGAGGTACAAGAGATCAGTTAAACTGCTCCGATAGTGTCCCGCACATTGAAACAATTGACGTTCTTTATTGTCCATATGAGTCCAGGTCTTGTCCCTGATTGTCTCGTTGACCTCGGTGGAATCGGGACGTTATCACGCATCTGGATCGCGCGTCCGATCGACATTCGTCTTCCTTACGCTTAACCCTGCCATTCCAAACGGCTGTTTCTTGCCATTGTGCACTTATATCCAGAAAGGTCACAGTCAAGCTACATTTGTCTTGTGTTTGCAATTCTGCTTACTTGATTTGGCCACATGGAACCACACAAACTTTGCGTTTAAATTCATTTCCTGCGAAGTACGAACCACACAGTTGGTCGATTGCGCAATCACTTGCTTGCGCTCCTTTTACTACCCTCCGTGTTTGTGTTTTTTTCATGCATTCTATCCACCTGATATGAGAAGTATAGATTTTACGATGACTTTTTGAAAGCATACCCTACTCTTCTTAGTGTACTTCCCTGTTTCTACTCACCTGTCTCATTCTACGCATTCCACTATGACAGCACTAGGAGAGGAACTGCCATGCATCTACTACGACTGATGCTTCTATACTCGGGCGTCTTGCTCGCTTTGGTACCTGAGTGAACCTAATCGTGATCGTGTTTTTTGGCGTTCATTGTTCGGCCGTGTCACACTGGGTACACATTGAGTGGACTGGGCAGTTACCGTTTTTCACACTGCGCCCCTTGTCAATTTGCTCCACATTTTCTCGGAAATTCTGTAAAATCCACCACCACACTCAAAAACTGTATTCACTTTTTGGCTGGTGGGTCTTGATTTTTTTTCTGTTTCTGTTTCTGCACTTGAACCCTAACTGAATCACCAGGGATAGGATGTGGCCCAAAAACTAATCTGAGTGTTTTACCCAGACCTTGTTGGGTCATACGACCTGGGCAACCTGGCATTACTACACGGTGATCGTCGCTCAGTTCACAATGCTCTGGTCACTTTTTGATATTCTGAATTTAATCTTTTGGAATAGTTTTCAATTTGGCTACATTGCACTGCGGATTTAACTTCTCGCTCGTACATGGCTTCTGGTGCTCCTACAGTGTCCCAAGCCTCATGTGATCTGCAGGATACTTCACTCCATCTTCCCCTTCTTTCGAATCGGTTATTTTATTGATTCGCACCTCGCGCTGACTTATAAAGCATATACTGGGATTCTTCGGGAGCTTAAAACTCTTATATTCTGCGTTCTCTTTTCGGACTCAAACTACTAGATTTGCTAATTACCAACAATTCGTGTGTTGCAGGTGCGTGTTGGGGAGGTGATATGGTATTTGCGAGCCGTTAATTCAAGTCAGCGTCAAAGCTGGATTGCCGCAATCGAACGCCATCGGATCGCCGACTCAGGCTACGGATCCGAACGTACATTGCACCGGCCTAGTTCGCTTGTCTCTCTCAACTCTGTGCACAGTCCTAGCATTGCCTCCTCCTCCAGCTTCAAACGTGGTCATGGACTACGAGAAAAGCTGGCCGAAATGGAAACTTTCAAGTGAGCGGTGCTTATAGTTAATTTATGGCGCCATTGCATTTTTTCTTCTATCCACCCGTGTCTTCTGCGGCATTCGACTACGTTTCACCTTCTATCAGTGGTATGCACGAGCTAGCTGGTTTATCAGGTCACTTATGCGAGTTCATTCTAGAGACCATTCAGTCCGAAGACGTCGGTGCGCTTTGTAATGGCATTCATCCATCAGACAACGGCTACCTTCCTCAGTTAAATCACCCGCTTTTGTCCCTTCAATATGTTCCATTGGCTTACGACTGTGCCCCGTACAATACCGACTGTGTTACTTCATTTGCATATGATTACTCCATTACAGGTAGTTGGTTTAGTGACATGTCGGCTCATTGTTAGGACTGCTTTCAGTCCCGTCTTAACTCCACTATTGTTATTACTCCTGACATGTTAATCTAAAACCAAAACTTTGTCCTAGGCATCGCTATTCAGTGATTCTTGTATTTTCGTCATTCCTTTTCATCGCCGCTGCTTCTGTATTACGACGAGCTACGGATTGCAAGCTGTGTTCAACAGTTTCTATGACACTCAGTCGCTTTTGATGCTGGCTTTGTCAGCCCACATGAGGTGTAAGGCTTTAGCGCGTTCCAGACGTAGTGTATTGATTTTCAGGGTTACGATTCGGGCCATTCTCCGTAGTAATGGATATGACTATTTTCTGAACGTTCTTACACTCCTTCCACCCAGTTGTTTATTTTCGGAGACTCCAAAATTTGGTAGTCTGCTACGCGAATACCCACTTTTTGAGGCACACTAGGTCGTTTTCTGTCAACTTTTCCACCAGTTAGAGGAGGCCCACTTCGCGTGGCATTTTCAGGCTGTCCAATGACACCTAGACAGTCAACGTTGTTTGTGAGATGCAACGTTTTCAATGTTGCCCGCTCACATCAACAATGCAGTTCAGTGCAGTTCAGTTTCGTCCTCGTTTGGACTCATCAGGTGAGGATAACCCGATCACTCGGACCGTGATCGGAATGACTGAGGTCTACTTCAGTGTGAACCTGAGGTTCTGGTTGAGATTGCTTGGCTCAATCTAAACACGCGGTGCGTACTCCCTACTTTAACGCATGTAATTTGTTTAATCACCACACGATCACCTGTCGGTGGATCTCATCTGCACTACAGTTAATACCTGCAGAGGCTTTGGAAAGACTAGACATGAGCTTAGCTGAAAAAGCAAATCTACCGACGATTACACAGGAGCTGCACTTTACCGCTCGTTCAAGCGAGTCTCTAGTAGGTCCGGACAAACAGTGGGATTATCTTGGCCAAATCAGGCTGCGGACGATCTGTCAATATCCCATCAAAGAACACGAACAGCGGCCGATCTCATCAGTCGGCATTCTCTCACACTTGACTCCTTTAGCCCCCTGTGGGCTCCTAAAGACTGTAATTGTCCTGCTTTTATACCATTGATTATGAGTTTCTCAATAAGCCGGCCGAACTGGAAGATCATCAATTTTTATGCCATGCGATATCGTCGGTGTCATGGAGACATGGCTAGACGCTGGAATGACGGACGCTGAAGTAACGCTGCCGGGCATTTCACTCATCCGCAAGGACAGGCTTACAATTGCTGTATTACCGAAGCGCCCTACAGCGCGAGGCCGTGGGTGATTCAAACTCGCTGTTCCCCTAGTCTATTTAGTGCCACCTGCAGTCCACAACAGGCACTTGCTTTGAGGCCTTGGTGTACTGCCCCTCAACCCTACGCTTGAGACAGACTGACACCTTGTGACTGCTTTAAAACGTACTCTAATGGGAAACTACGCTCACATACTTATCATGCGTGATTTCAACTTGTTTTGTTTGGAAAACCGTGCTACGATCGCAGGACAATTCAAAGCTGATCTACAGAAGGTCGGTAACAGGGTTCCGTCTTAAATCACATCATTTTGCTTACTCAGTTCAGGACAAGCAACAGACCACATGTGCTGCATCTTGTATTCAACAACGAGGAACGAATGCTTGACGTATTAATTATAGACTGTCCTTTGGGACGCAGTGATCATGCAGTCCTTAGTTTCAACTTCATCTGCTACGTGGAATATCGGAATTAGAACCTTGAGATGCTGCACTTGTCAGTGCCGCTGTCTGATCGTTCTTCACCGATGACCTCCGGAAGTCGACTGGCTTGAATTCTTTAGCGAATTCACTCAACTGGTTACTAATGTTTCCAAAACGAGAGTTAGCCGTAGGTCGTAAACCGTTTCTTTACTAAGCATCAGAACTGGAAAATGGATGTTAGCACGCAACGCAGCATGGGGGGAGTATGGGTCATCTCTAACGCCAGATAGAACAACTACATAGCCCAGCGTAACCACTGCACTCAACTTCTCTAAGGCGACATAGCAGCATATCATCAAAACATGACGAAAACTTTCAACGCTAATCACAAACCACTGTACATGCATTTCAATGGCCTTCGCAAGGTGAAGCAAGGAATTCTTTCACTCCGGCACAACAACAACGGATATACAAGCAGCAAACGCGTTTTGGACGGAATATGCTCCCACATTTCAGAACGTCTTGCCTTCAGGCGACCTTCCAGCTTTTGTTGCCCCACTGCCAGGACACCTACATAACTTTTACTGCTGAAGCTGTATTACAAAAGCTGACGTCTCTGTACTGCTACTATTACTACAGCTGTACGGATTTCGATACCATTCGCCCAAAAAAATGGGAGCAGCAACTCGACAACTGGCTCATTTCTTTCAACCTTGCTTAGACACGAACCTGGTTACTGCCATGTGGAAAGTTGGAATAATAACTCCGATTCACAAAGGCGGAAGCTGGACTGAGCCCTTAAAGTACCGCCCAGTATCTATTCTTCCCCTGCTGTCCAAGGTCATGCAGTCCGTCGTTGCCGACTCATTGGTGTGTTTTCTGGAAAGTCGTAACATTGTCGCTCCCGAGCAACACGGCTTCCGTGGACACCAGTCATGCACAAGGAATTTATTAATCGCACAGAGTGGTTGGACCTAGGCAGCTGACGCTGGGATGAACGTTGATGTGATCTGCATGCATTTTTCAATGGCATTCGATCGTTTAGATCATCGGCTTCTCCTTTCCAAGCTCCAGTATTACGGCATCACCAACGCTGTTCTAAGCTGGATCGCCAACTTTCTTCAATGACAATTAGTTACCAAAGTCCGGAGCTCCCTTTTCGACCCCATACGAGTCGAGTGTGGTATGCCTCAAGGCTCAGGTCTAGGTCCACAACAGTTTTTGGTACTCATTAATGACCGTGCACAATCGCTTCAAATTTCCTATTTTTGGTGGAGACTTCAAGCTATGGCGCTGGATTCGGGAGGATGCTGATCTAAATTTGCTTCAGTGTAACCTAGATATGGTCAGTGGTCAGTCCAAAATCCGCTGCACTTCAACCGGAGCAAGTCCAAGGTACTTCCCATATGACACCTGGGCATCTACTCATACAGGCTCGGAACGCGTGTACTGCAGCAATCTTCCATCGAACGCGACCTGCGCCTGCTGGTTCAGGATAAATTGGGCTTTTCCCGGTAACCCGAAAAGGCATCGAAAACTGGTAACCAACACGTCGGTCTGTTGCGACGGACGTTCGGATACATGGACACCTTTATTCTTCGACAGATGCGTGGTGCGTATGCTCGCCCCCATGTCGAATACTCAATTCAAGCCCAGCAGCCATGGCTGAAGCATAACCTTACTACACTTTGAGGTTGGCCTCAAACTCGAGCTACCAAATACATCATTGGAATGCGCAATCTCTCATACGAGCAAATGCTGTAACGTTTGGGAGTATTCACCGGACGGTAGCACCGACTACAAGGCGATCTGACAATGGCATACTTCATTGTACACAATCCAAATCATGTGTGCCGCTTTTTACTGCAGCTCGGCCGTAAACATTGTTGATACGTCACCCCCTGAAACTAGCAGAACAGTACAGCCCTCTGGAATGCGTATAAATTTCTTTTCCATACAGGTGTCATCCTTAAAATGCTCTCCCCTAATTGGTCGTTTTTTCACCTACGCTAGCCATATCTAAGTCTGTTGGATGACGCACTCAGCCACTTATCTTTTTTTCGCTTAGCATTATCTCTCCGTCATGCTCTCGGGAAATACCATGGATTTATTCTTTGTCACCTATTGAAGCTGTGAAAGAAAGCAGAGTGCAGTGTTAGTGTATTAAAAACGAAAACTCTCTTCTTTTGACAGTAAAAGTACTTCTTCCACGTTCTATTAAGAGTTTTTAATGACCCACCAGACTATCCAACAGGGCTTGTAAAGCTCTACTTCTTAACCCGGATAAAGTCATTGCTCACTTTTCATTGTTCTTTATCTTCATGAGTTGTGCATGTGATCTACCGGCTTTTTCCGGCAAATGCTTTCACCATCACTTCCGTCCTAAGAAATAATGCTTGTTGCGTTGTCATCGTTTTAATTAGAGTTGTGCGTTTATAAATCGTTCGATAGTGACGGTGTGGACTGCCCGGAAGTACTTGCTTTTATCATTATTGCTACCAGTTTTGCGATTATTCACTTGACGTTGCTAAGTTTGGGTCGTACTCCTCATTTTTGCAAGCGTTCCTTGAGGAGCCAAATCAACCTTGTAGTATAGCTCACGATCGCCGCCATAGAGGTGATCATCCTTCCGAATATCGGCTGCGTTTTCCGAAGTTCCTACCTAAGGACGAAACCTCTGACGGAGTGTAATTTCTGCATGGAGCAAAATCAGCGACGTAAATTTAATGCTTTATAAAATTTTCTTCATGCTTGAACTACATATGCTTCCAACTCAGTGAGTACTTTTCACTTGCGGTGACAAACGCCTTTCGATCTTTAGGATCGAGAACCCACCGATCATCTTTACTTTGGACAGCTTCCTTGTTCACTGCTTTTCTTTCATGTTTAGTTATTTCTGCACCTCATTATATTATACGTTTTTGGAAATGTTTATCCACTTCTACTAGTCCCATCAACCTGAGAAC